AAGATAAATATATCCGAAATCATAATTTGAAAAAAAAAAAAAGACAACGATCATTCCCCTTGCAATCCCTCCAAATTTCTTTCTATCCCTCCCCATCGCCATTTCGACAACCATCCTTCTAAATTTCTTTCCATTCCTTCCCTTCGCCATTTCGACGACCATCCTACGCCCCATACCACCCACCGACACTGCCGCCTCCACGGATTCGATCTTAATTTCCTTGCTTACGTAAAATCTATCAGAACCCATCCTTTCCAATTCCATAATTAATCAGAAACGATTTCGCGATCCCCAAATATTTTAATAAGATTAGGATAGATCCGCTGCTTCCAGCAGCGGAGAGATTTCTGCCCCTACCGCAACCGCTGCCGCAGCCGGTGGCGCTGCCGACGCCGCCGCTGCTACTGCTGCTACGCCGCTGCTGCTGCGTCTATGCTGCTGCTGCTGCTCCCATGCTGCTGCTATGCTGCTGCTGCTGCTGCTGCTGCTGCTGCTGCTGCTGCCACTCCCATGCTGCTGCTATGCTGCTGCCATGCTGCTGGCGCTGCCGCTGCCGCTGCTGCTGCTGCTATGCTGCTGCTGCTGCCACTCCCATGCTGCTGCTATGCTGCTGCCATGCTGCTGGCGCTGCCGCTGCCGCTGCTGCTGCTATGCTGCTGCTGCTGCTCCCATGCTGCTGCTGCCGGGCAGCTACGGTAAGCCAGCGACGAACCATGCTGCTCGCTGCCCCTGCTGCGGAGTCTCGGGGCGCGACCAAAAATCTCGGAGATTTTTGGTCGCGCCCTCCCGACCAACAATCTCGAAGATTTTAGGGTCACTAGCTTTTGCCAGAGACCCTAAAATTCTCGAGATTTTAGGGTCGCTAGAAGGCCCGCAGGAGGTGAGGCGGAAAAGCGCGCGCGCGACAGACGGCCGCAAGTGGCCGCGCCGTTTTATTGGAGATATTCTGAACTATTTCCAAAAGATGCGAAATCTGGTAGGAACACAAACAGGAGTCATTCATATGAAATCGACAAAAAATTCCGTATAAATACTCTATTCCCTAGGCCCATATGCGCTAAACTTCTAAAATATCTTTCAAAGTGCCGAGAAGAATCGTTGAAAACCTTTCTTTTCATATCAAATATGATTCAATAATCTAATTTTCTTCGCCAAGTTCAATTTTTCTTAAGCCAATGGAATCTAATCACTGAAAAATTTCATCTCCGCGCGAAGATTATATTCAGTGCCAAACCCAGATTTTTGCAGGTGATCCTTTTACACGCGCATAGCCTTAGGCGATTGCGCAGTCGCTATCTTCCACCACGCCACGTTTCAGCGCAGATCGTCGTTAACGCAGAGGCGAGCGTATGCTTGCCACTGAGTCCACATTCACAAATCCTGCATTCTTATAGCCAGCATGGAGGCTGTGGAGATGAGGCAGTTTACACCTCATAATTGTTGTGAACAATAAGTGATTGAAGAACTGGCTGAAGATTGCAGACTGCGTTGTAGGTCACTTTGCGCCGTTTTTAGCGCTTCCCTTTACTGCTCTTGCTGCTCTTGCTGGACCTTCGGCACCAGGATTGCAAGTCGTGCCGACGGAATCAAAAGAGCCCTGCCGTCTTGAAGTGCGAACCAGTGCAGAGTCCAGGTGGACCATGGTAAACAAAAATCAAGCCTTACCCGTAAGTCTACCACCCCCTTTCCGAAAAGCCTTCCAACTAGGACCTGTTGAAATATGTAGACTTCAACTGATCTCAAGGAGTCGCTCTCAGTCACTGGCCCGCTGCGCGACTTCTTCTTTTTCTTCTTGCGTCGCCTGCTGAGATATCCATCCCACCAGGGCCATGACTTGCAAATCGTCCTCCTGCTGACCCACTCATCAAATCATGTCAGTAATCTCTTTGTTGCTGTTGCTTTCATTCCTTCACTCGTGCATCAGAAAGACAATCCACAGGCAGCTCTCGTATGTTGCTTGGCAGTAACTGGCATGCAGCTGGGAGGATGAAAGCAGCATTCTTGGCTCCGTGCCCTCGCAAAGCTGCTGTGAAGTCCTTGGTGTGGGATGGCAGTGTTCTTCTCATGCTTACTGCCTCTACAGGGGAGGTAACTGCAGATACTCGAAAAACACCATGAAGCCTAAAGCTCCTGGCCAGGTCACACTCTTCCTCAACATCCGCCCAAACTGTGTGCACATGAAAAACAACAGACCGAAACTTGGGCTCACGCATGCAAAGGCAGGCTGAAGAGGTGAGGTGCCTGCAATTTAGCTTGGGCTAACCAGAACTATCGCAATTGAACGCTTGGAAGCTTGGTGAACCTCAAGTTGAGCTGCCAAATTCTCTGGAGCTTCAAATTGCCTTTCCTGCGAACAGGAAACCGCTTCTGCAGCTACAGACCCAGCCTCCAGGGACATCTTCTTGGGAGCAGTTCGCACCTGTCAGCACAATTCAAGCCGCTGTCGTTCACCAAGCATCGAAATCGAGCGCCCATGTCTTGCTTCAACCAGCAGCTCGTACCACTGTCAACACCCCGGCAACAACCGCGAACACTCTCATAAACCCAAGTCTGTTTTTGCATGGGTTTGCCTTGGTGAGGTTGCGGCTCGCGGTCAACGTCCGTGGATGGTCCTGGCCAGACAATCTTGCGTGCTCGAATTTGGGCCCGCATTTATTGGAGAGATGAAGCTAGCCGCTAGCCTGGAGCAAGGAAGCGCCTTTCAAAGTCAGGTCATCGACCGCCAGGATTGGGTAGCTGCGCTACAGAAATTCTTCCAGGAGCCTGAAGTCTACGCTGATTGGAAGCTTCAGACACTGTATCATACATATCAATCATACATCAAGACTTTTGTTCGAAGAGCATCGTAACTCAATACCGTGACCTTAAACCTTTAAGGCTTTAAGGCTACTGATGTCCTCTCCGGCCAGCTCTTTTAAGATCTCCACCGCAAGCTCAGTGAATGCTGCTGCCTTCTTTCTCCAGTTGGGAGCACGTCTTGCACAGCAGGAGGCAGGAACAGCCCACCCTTCAGAACAAGATACAATTTTTATCACTGGTAGTTTCCAGAGATGGGGGACCCCAGTAGAGACCCCAATATACTCAATATACTACTATCCTTATTATGGGTACCCAAAAGGGACCGCATTGTTGTGGCCTCCGTCTGCCGGTCCAAGGCGGCGAGGCAACAGGCGAGGTTGTTGTAGGACGTGGCAGTATCGATGGTATCCCTCAGGCTCAGATTTTTGTTGCATTGTTGAATTGCAAATGTATGCCAAACCTTTTTTCCCTTGCACTCTGCACGCACCTTTCCTGATGACTGTGACGAACTGGGGGAGTGTGATTTGAGTTTTTACAGTACGCAGTTTCCCTAAATAGGTGGACCCCACCTTTGGGGACCGACCCCTAATTTTCGGAAAGCCCCATGTGTTGTGGACCCTGTGGATGAACATCCGGATTGGATCGGGGTGCCAGATGCGGCTCGGCTTCGTCGCCGCTCCTTTTGCTCCCAAAATTAAGAGTACCTTTTTGGGAGTCACTATAATACGGATTCGAATATCTTGGGGAATATCCTATTTAGGGCAAGTGCTGCGGCCCTGAGCTGGTGACCCACCGAGAGCCTTCTCCCGAATACTTCGCGCACGCCTGCAGCACGATTTCTGACATGGCAGGCTTCCCTATAGACAAGGGCAGGCGGCCCTGGTCACACTTGTGGCTTGAGGGACTTTCCATGGCCAAGGTAAGCTATCAGACGCACGAGCGGATGCTGCATCATGATTTAAAGCCTGTTGGAAGGACTAAGGCTGATGGCAATCATCACATTCAAAAACTCAGCATTGCACGACAGATGACGTACAGCATGATTGAATAGGATGGGTGATGGTTACGAGACAGGCGAAAATTAGGATGATGATGATGATGATGATGATGATGGTGATTATGGTGATGATGATGCTGATGATGCTAGCAATCCTGGCCGTTTTGGCCAAGAGGGAGATTGTGCATGCGGCAAATGGCAAAGTATGCAGCGAATCCCGACCTGGGACAATCAGACATGCTACATGCCAGCAAAACAAAGTCTTCCCTGAATTGCAAACATTAAGACATATTAAGACAGTTTTCCCCATCATCTGCTTCAACAAGTCGGAACTGCGCAAGAATGGCACTAGTTTTTGAGATTTCACTTCCTGAGGCTGCAACATGTGAAGACGGGTGGCATCTTCAAACCGCCCCACGTGGAAGGCTACCCGTCCCAGACCTGATAGTTTCTTAGATTTGAACCAGCTCAGACCGCAACAGCAACTTGCTGGCGAAAGACTTGCTGTTTTGGACGTCTCCAATTTAATTTGCCAACACACCAAGGAGCCGAAGCACGTTGCTACACAAGCTCTCACAAGCAGCAGAGCTGAGCTTGGTGCCATTCCACACCATGGCCACATTTGCATCCTGTGGAGGGAGCCTGCAGAGGCACGAAGCGGACAACTTATTCCATCATGCCAGTTGGGGGAGTGCATAGCAAGTCTTAACTACTGGCTGTTAGGCCAGCACCTCCGGCTGTGCTCCAGAGCTCGCCAGAGAAGCTGCGCAGACAGCTCATCCTGAACCAGATGGCTTGAAACAGAAACAAACTACTGACTGGTGTGAGGTCCTCCTGCACTGCTGAGTGCAGGGATGCAAGCTCACAGAAGAAGAAGAGGGCTGCCTGGCCGTTGACAGGCGTCCCATGCCCAGAACCGCGAGAGAAGCTCCAAGCTGTGCCTGCGGAGGCAATCGCAAGAGGTCTTCTTCGTCGCCCAATGCCATGGGGAAGTCTGTCTTTGGATTGTACTTCCTGCTCAGGGCGGCAGCTCTTCAATCATCCAAGGCCTCTAATAACCAAGGACCTCCAATTCTCGTGTTCCAAATCTGTGGTTGTGACCCTGCTCACGAAAGGCTTTGTAGACTTGTGAAGGCCAGGATGCTCAGGAGTCGTTTGAAATTGTACATTGCACATGTGCAAGGCAGCTTGCAGTCTTTTATGTAAGCCCTTGAGTTTCTTACTGTTTTGGATTACCTTGCGTCACTTCATCAGTCATCATCTTCAGCTGATTCGTTTTCAATCCAGTGTGATCAAAGCCACGTTCAAACACCTGCTTACCTCTGCGTGCAGAGACGTCCTTCTGGCCTTGTTACAGATGGGCTGCCAGTTGCGCGTGCCGTGGGCGACCGCCCACGAGCTGACTGTGGCGTGAGGCCTGACGGCAATTCCATGCAAATATTCCCAAATCTGGGAGCCCCACATGCTCTTCAGCTCTCATCAAGCTACACTATCATATTTGCAGGCCCTGGGTCCGCGGGCTTTGCCCAGAGCCGCGCGTGGCCATGCGCTGGCGGCGGCGATCGAGGCTGGGGTCCCCTGGCGTGATGCCGATTCAGTGAATCTTTCAACTTGCACAGGCAGCTTGGCATCCTTCAGCACAGGAGGAAACAGTGGTGACGGCATACCATCTTGACATAGCCAAGGTGGCAACAAGACAGCTTTCATGCGTGTGGCCTGTTGTTTGCATGGCTTTGCCATGTCAATGTTATCTGGTTGCAAACTGCATCTGAATGCCGTAATGCATCGTCATGCCTTTTCGAAATCAAAAAGGGATTGGGTGAATCCCATTCTTCATTCATTGGAGGCCTGCCCTCTCCTCTCCACTATCGAACTCTTGTATGCCCGATTCGGCAAAACAGGTTGCCTACTCCATTCCCGTCGCTGCCTGCAGGGCCTTGGTACAACAGTATGACTGCAAGTTCAAGCTGAAATCGAAGCTGTGCACTCAGCAATAGACGCTACTTCAGACAGCAATTCAACAAGTCCAGTGTTGCTGAAGGATGCTTCGAAGGGTGCTGTGGGTGCGGCTTGCACGCCCATATCTGTCAGTCTTGCTCCGGGTGATCTCCTCACAAGCGCCTGCAGGTGATAGAAGTCTACTGCGGAGGCGCTCTACACACGTGGCCAACATGACCAAGCATCTCAGGAACAGCTTTCTGGCCTCAAGGTCGGCTTGCTCTAGTTCGTCTTGAGTTTTCTCTGTCTCTGACTCTGCCTCGCCCTAATGCGCTGCTTGAGATCTCTCCCTCCACGTTCTCGCTGAGCCCAGCACTTAGGTCCTCTCGCGACGGCAGCGCCTCTGTGCGGCTGCGGCCAATGGCCAGCGGTTTGGACTGCGTACCTCGGTGTCGCCACGCATTGAGAGAAAGCTCTAGCAGTCGCCAGTAAGTTACCCGAGCGTGGAGTAATCCTTGGGTCTTCTGCGTGGATCCCGAAGTAAGTAGCCAAGTGGCTGGAAGGATGTTTCACCCAGCTAGGGTTTTGAGACAAAGCCAGACTCATTTGGACTTGGATTGAGAGACTTGCAATTGAGCGGGCTGCACTTTGCCAGTCAAGTACAAGCATGATCCCATATCCATCGAGCTTGCCAAGCGCCAAACGGGACAAATCATCCGGAAAAATTGTGCGATCCAAATCCTCCTGTCCGCGGCAGGTTGTCTTCAGACATCTATGCAACTTTAGCCTTGGACATATCTGACCTCTGGAATTTATGGCAGCGACCTCGTCTTCTCGGGAAAATGCCTCAGTCTTCTAGTCATAGGCAGAAGAACTCAGTCTGATACAGCCCTCCTGATTCCACCAATGTTCCGGGATCCCGGCTCCACCAGCAGTTGCCGGCGTGGCTGAGGCGCGGGGGTCCCGTGGGTCCAGAAAGCCCCTGTCCAGCGCCACTCAAACCCGTCATGTAGAATCTCAGCTCACAGCAGCAATCTCAACTTTTGGCATCATGCTCGTGTCCTGTAGAGGGTTGGGGTCGTGCTGTCAGCACTTGAGCTCCATGGTGAAGGCCTGGGAGGATAGTCGGATAGTTCAAATCGTAATGCTGCATGCGCTTTTGCCGCTTGATGATTTATTGTTTCTCCATCAAGGCTGACATGGTCTCTAGCATCATATACCATCATACACCCTAATTCCCAGGTTGAGGCACGCACGTGGGCACCAAGGCTTGAACGTCTTCCCACTCCGCACTTCGAGGCTGGCGTGCCTGCAGGCTTCCCCATAAACTTGGACAGCTGGGCAGGGAGTTCCGCCGTGGCCTCCACCTGGGCCCAAAGCTTCCGCGCCCGGATGAGAAGTGCCATGGCGACATCGTACTGGCGAAGCCTTCGGGTCTTCATGGCCGTGGCTTGGGGTCCAACTGCGACCTGTCCCCTGCACGTCTTCAAGGGTGAACTTAACCATCAAACGACACTGAGCCGGTCAAGCACTCTCTGTTGCGACTTTGCGCATCACGCCAATTCAGTCAAGAAAGTGAAGTGCATGCAATCTCCTCCAGAATGTTGAAGAAATTGATTGTTCGCAGTTGCACCCGAAAGGGTTCCTTGCAATTATTCTAGCCCAGCGACGCCTGCCTCAAGACCCCACGTGCGCATGTTGCCAGGGCTTGTGTTTTGAAGTGCATCAGCCCTGGCCTTCTGGACGTGAGCGCCGCCTCCATCAGTGTGGTGACCTGGTGTGCATCGGTCTCTTGAAAAGCCAGTCAACTGTCAAACGGCGTCGTGCAAAGCCCCAACACTTCACAATGCAACCCTGCGAGGAGGAAGCAGGCGCCTCCTCACTCCTGGAGCACACCGGTGCGCGCAGCGGCTCATCCTCGGCAAGCGCAGGAACTCGGGAACTCGGGTGGCTGCTGCCGGCACAGACTTGATGGGTAGCTGAGATGTTTTGGAAGAGGCGCAAACAATCAACGTCAGCTGCTCTGACTTGCCATGTTGAGGTCAGGGCAATGAGCTGCAGGCGAAGCACCCAGCCAGTAGATGGTGTATTCACAGCTCTTGACTGCAGAAGGACAAGAGCAAAACTGCAGTAATGGTGTGTCTTGTTAGGGCCGCGCATTTAGATCTCAGGGCTGCTGCTATTTAGCAATCACACTGAAAGCGCCATCTGAACCCCTGGTGCTGCAGCTACCAGAATGGGCATGACGCAGCAACTCAATATCTTTCCTGCCTCATCGCGCTGCTGATTTATGTGGTCATCCAGATTCCTGCTTTCCGTCAAAGATCCCCAAGAAAGAATCTGCAATAGCAGCCGGTGTTTAAGTTTTGTTGGAGTCTTTGCCTTAAGGTCTGTGTCTGGCGTACACATTCCATCATGATGAGCTTGCCTGGAATCTATGTTTTGACCTCTTACATATATTCAGCCGCAATGTCTTCCGGATGCTCTGTCACTATCCTTTGAAGGGACACATGCCTTCTCCCTTCTACAAGTCTTCCTCTTTCAAGTCTGAAGCAAGGACCAAGGCATGAGCAGTTTGCTTGCTGGCCCTGTGCAGGGCTCCCGGCTGAAGCATGACTGCTTTGCTGTCCGTCTGCCTCCGAGCAGGCTGGCATCACTCTTCACCCCATTTTTGGTAAACGGCAAAGCCACTTGTGGATCCTATTCGAGGGTTGTTCAGTGCTGGCCCCAGCAAGACTGTTTGCATTCTTGTAGCACTCTCCATCTTTGGAACACAGCAGCAACATTCGAGCAGGCACAGGCGCCCATGGAATATCGACAAATGCCACCATAGCTTCAGAGGTCCAACCAGGCAGCACACATCAGAAAATTGCAATTAAATGCATTGCAAGATCAGCTGAAGCACAGCGAAGAAGAATCGTACACGTCTCTCCCCGACTAGGATCCTGGCCACATTGGAGGAATGACTGGCAGCGGTCGTTCAGGTCGCTTCCCGAGCCATTGGATCTGATGAGGTGAGGATTCTGCGAGTTTCCCAAAATTTGGGATACTTTTTTGGGGGTGCCCACAATCAATAAGGACTACAGTATATTGGAGTCTACAGTGGGGTCCCCTTATTTTTGGAAACTATCCCATCTCTCCTCAAAGGTTGGAACCCAGCTTGCTCGGCAGCATTAGAAGTTGGTTTGGGTTTCACTCTGCCAAGCATTTGAACTGGAGCGAAGCCCGCGTGTCTTGCATGCTCCACGGCAGACAGAAGCTATCACGACTGGACCTGAAGTGATACTGCAACGGACCCATCCCGGTACATGATACAAGTATTCGTTTCTATTCCAATGAACGCTGCGGAGAGCGAAAGCGTAAAGCGGCTTATGTGAAGCTATCCATCCATAGAGGTGCGTTGCTCTTTAGCCTTGTGAAAAGACAAGAACACTATCCTTAGGGCGCTGGGTTGCCGTACGTCATGCCATGTTACTGTTGTGCGATGGTGGCTTCGGCTACTCCGCAACTGCGTACTCAACTTGCAGCTGTCACCCATGGCTAAAGCCAAGCCTGAGAAACCTTCCAACTAGTCAACAGTCCCGTCATCTATCACTCACCAGGCCATGCCCTGCTCAAAACACACAAACAACGCAACATTCCCCGCCCAGCGATCCCAGCGGTTTGACTAAAAGCAGACCATGCAAAGACGTGACTTCCTGTGTGGCTATCTATCAGTCACAGCCTGGTTCCACTTGACCGGGATCTTGCCATAGAAGGCCTCCCTCATCTTAGGCTGCTTTGGGGCCTTTGCCTTTTTCCTGCCATGCTGCAGCAGTCAGGAGGCTCAGTGCCGTTGCAACTAACCTCAGCCTGCCTGCTGAGCGGGAAGCTTCTATGAACTGACTGATGTTCACTTACTTAGTTTCAGTCATCAAGCGTGGCTGGCGAGCCCCTTCTTCTTCTTGCCGCCTGCTACAGCTTTGCCCCCAGGATTTTTCCTGCAAGCCGTGACTCGCTCCATCTTGGTCATGGCTAAACAGGCTTGCTTCTGACAAGTTTCTGATTCTGGCAGGTGGCGCTGCTTCTTGCATGGCCACTTGAGCGGCGCTACAAATCTGGAGGCCAGTCTTCTATCCAAGTCAGCACAGTATCTTTAGTTGTTTTTACTCTTATCGTTTTCTCATCCCTAACATAAATCACTAGTTATCGTGTCTAGATCTTATCGTTTTTCCCGTGTCTGGCACATGCTGATATATCTTGTCAGTTCTATATAAACAGTTATGGCCCAGGTTTTGTCACAGCTCACTTTTCATTGGGGAACTCCGCAGTTTCAGGAAGCTTCCAAAATAAAGCCAGGCTCTCCAGCTGAAGCAGTGCGAGTCCTCTGCATGTCGTCCTGACATGCATTGCTCTGGAGAAATTCAGCAGGCAAAATGCCGCTAGCGCATGCTTTCCCTTCCTGTGCAAGCTCGGCAAGCTACGGAGACAACAATGAGGGAAGTTCTGGTTTCCGTAACTAAACGGGAAGCTGCTAAGCTAGGCACTATTCTCTCATCCGCGGTCATCGGCTGGAGCGGAAGCTTGTCGACCACGTTCGGAGGTGGCTTCGGGATGTGAGGATCCTCGCTGAAACCCTTGCTCATGGGTTGGCCACTGCACTTACCGGAGTTGCCCATGCAGCACCAGCTAGAGGAAACTTGATGCTTGTACAGCTTTCCAAGGAGCCTTTTTTGCCACCAGCACGGGCAGCTCCGCATCGATCCTCAAGTGATGGACAATGCGTGCAAAGCCAAGACGCTTCAATCATTCTCTTGCGTAGGCTCGCGGCGCGTGGAGCACCTCATCCAAGCTCTGCGGGGCGAGCTCCATGTCGTCTTCTGTTAGCTCTTGCCTTGCGTGAAGCAGGCCGAACACGGCGGCATCTTGTCGGTGATTGTCTGTTCATATGTATTGACCACATCGCACACGTCAACATTCCTTGCATGTTTGGTGATTTAAGTGTGCAGCGTATCCTCGACTCCCAGGGTGGCCTGGCCCAAGCGAACAAGAAGTAGCAGCATCCTCATAAATCTGTGCTCAGCAGCCTGATGTCTCCAAATCAAGATGTTGCATTCGCCGAGCGAGCGTGGAAGCATGCCGCAACAAGCCCTCCTTCTCATGGACACCATAGTACTCACATGTACCCACCTTCAAGTACAAATCAGCCTTGAAGGCCTGAGGTGGCGTGCTGTCGGCTCGGATCTGGAAATGTCAACCAGCTATCAGACCAGGGGCGGCTTGAAATCAGTTCTAGCCATGCGCGGGTGCCACGGCTTGTAGGCTGGCAATATGCTCGTTCCCATCGCTGTTGCCATTCTCCGGTAGGGTTCTGGGCCCAAAGCTCGTGCGTCATCGTCCCGTGGAAGTTGCAGGAGATCGCCAAAGATCTCGTCGAGGCGCTCGACACGGTCCTGCCAGTCTCTATGGCAAATTTCTTCAAAGTTTGGAATGGGATGGCTTTGTGATGGCGAATGTTCTGATCGGATTCAGCCAACGCACATCGCGCATGCCCCGAGGCCCAAGACAGGACACGTCATGCGCAGAAAGGGGCCGTAGCCAAGGCCAACAGAGGCCAACACAAGAGCCTCAAGCAGCGGACCAGAATTGCATAAATGGTTGCAGGCCTGTGAAATCCCATGAACAACACCCTGGAGCCTCCAAATCCCGCGGGTCGCCGTGATCAAGGATCCCCTACCGAGATATTTAGTAGTTTAGTCCTGCACGGGCTCATTGTACAGCCGTGGAGGCGCGTGGAAGGCAGCCTGACGAGAAGGAACAGCAGGCTAAGGCCACCTATCTTGCAGCTGCGTGCTTCCTCGCAATGCACATTGACATGACCAGTTCAGTCGGCTTACACGCGGTCCAGCTTTTGTTTGTTGTCCGCCGAACGGCTGTGTGCAAATCTGTACGTGCAAACGTATTCACCGTCTTGATGCATAGTGCCAAGATGCACCCCCAAATGAATCGAAGTGACCCTAGGAGTCCAACAATCTACCTACCTCTCTCGGAAGTAGTGCCAGGATCTGTTACTTTGATTTCATGAGATATGCCAAGACCATGCAACCGGTTGGACGCAAAAGCTTTCCTTTTCTTTCAGATCTGCGCTGTTCGGATTGGACAATGATCTTCAAGACCTCACATTGCATGCGAGCTCGTCTTGGGCAGCGGCAGCTACAAAGATCTCCAGCATCTCTGGGAAGAAGAAGCCTGGCCAGCGCTAGAGCAACATAGCCAGGGCTCTCCAAGTGGGGTCGAATGTTTAATGCTTGGGTTCGAGAAGTAAAATCAAGCGCAACATAGCGCAACATAATTGCGGACAGCTTTGAAGATCTTATGATGTTCAATGCTTGGCCGGCTGGACGTGGCTCGCCAGAAAGCATTCCCTCGGCTGGCTGGTGCCACTTCGGATCCTGCAATCATAAGCGGTGACACTTCTCACGACCGGTGAGGCAACAGAGCCATTTGACGTGCGTACAATCCACTTTAGTCCTCCTCGCGCTGCAGCATCCGCCCTTCCTAAGACTGAGGCTGAAGGGCAAGGGCTATACTATACTGGTCTAGCAGGTAGCATGTGGGTCGGGACCTTGCAGCCATTTGCAGTCTGAAAAGACACTTCGTAGAGCGCAGGTTTTGGTTACAGGAAAGCTCTCGAATTCAGAGCACACGGGTGCGAACAAGCAGATCCTGCTCTGTCACGCAAGAGAACAACATGCGCAAGGCCTGGAAGAAACGGTTTTCCGCGGCACGCGCAGCACCTGCGTTGAGACTGAAGCCAAGACAGCGCATAAGAATCTTGGACCATCGGAGCATCTTGAATGCATCACTCGTCTGAGGCATGCAGCTGTAGCAGGGCTGAGAGCTGACACAGCAAATTCAAGCAAGAAGTTGAACTGGGATCCTGGCTGTGGAATCGAAGGCCATTCACAACATCTTGAAACTCACCTGCCCGCGCTCTTCATGCAGCGCTCGAATGGCCCCACCCCTTGTACAACAGCACAACAACCTCATGACGTCAATTGCATGCCACAGGCCGGCTAGATAAAGTTGCTTTGCAAGCATGGGCCATGGAACATCATGAAATGCCACGGCCTGGTACCAAACAATCGGGAATCAGCCGCGTTGCCCGTGCCAGGCGAAAGATGGATCTCGCGCTGATGGCTCGCTCGGCTCTCTCCTGTTAAGTTTCACAGAGCGTCTGGTGTAGTCTCAAAAGGATTTCAAATTTCAATACGCTTCGACAGGTCAGGCTCAAGTCTGCTTTTACCTAAGCAAGTTGTCCCGAGTTACTGGTGACATTAAATCATGGGACGCGCGCACTACCATCATGATGCATACGTTAAGCAAGTAAGGGGACACAGAGTCCAGCAACACGTCTCTCTGACGCGTGGAAGACCTGGAGTCACGGGCCTCCAGGGTCAGCGTTACCCCGCCAGATGCGCTTCGCTCTCTTGTTGCCTGGATAGGCTCCATTGCTTCTTGCCAATCCAGATTTGATCTAGCTAGTGTCCCTGTGCTTGCACGCCTGCCCATCTTCTGTGTCGAGCATCTAGTCGACTCTACAGTCTGAAGATACGCTTGGGATCCTGGCATAGTGCTGATAGAACTTGCGGAAAGCGTGCTCATAGCGGTACGCAGACTGGATGACCTGACACTCGGCGTTAGCTGCCACAGAATACAACATTTACCAGCATCAGTGGGTCAGAACTTCATCTTAGTACAGCCGCAGAGGGCTTGCGACCCGTTTACTAAAATTGGCTTCAGGCTTGTGGCTGGGCTCTGCCTCATCATCGAAGAAGGCAGTGCGCATCGGACTGACCTTGATTCTGATGATTTGTTCACATCAGCCAGGAGTCACCTCTTGCATTTCTCTTTGCTGTTTACGCCCCCGCCGAAAGCTGTTATGCTACCTGTCCACTAATGAGAGAGAGCCGGAGTCCTCTGTTAGATCAGAAGCCTACTGGATGGAGCCAGGCTCCACAGAGCAGGCAGCGAAGCCAATGCTCTCCCTTGCTGCGCCAGCGGCTGTCTTGATGTTGAAGGGAATCTCACTATTTCGAAGACTAACATCGCGAAGCAAATCCTGGTGGCAATAAAAGCGCGCTCAAATCAGTGTGCAGTGCAAAAGTAGGTCGGCCGACGGCATCCTGATCCCGACTGTAACGGATGCAAGCTGCACATGAAAGCTCTGACATCTTTCGCCATGCTTCGCGTCCTTTGACTTCAACATGGGACCCAAACCAATTCACAAGAAATTGTCCTGCAGCGCAGAGATCCTGTTTGTGCTCTCAGCTGCAAACAGCCTCCGCTTTATGTCAGGTCTCCAGTCTCTGGGTGAGTTCTCATGCGAAGCATGTCTTCAACTATCTTCAACTTTCCTTTCAAGCTTTCAAGCAACTCTCCAGAGAGACCTGGCATGATTTTGTAGCACGTGTGATCTGTCCTGTTGCTCCAGTTCCTGACTCGCCTAACTTTCCCAGTCTCGCCTAACTTTCCCAGTTGACGATGCTGATTCATGGTATGCCTGTCGGTTTTTCTCAGGTAATGCCAGACTTCCCATCCGTGCACCGTTCGTCACAGACTCTTTATCGCTTTACGATTCTTGATTGCATGCGGCAGCAATCATCTTCACGCCCAAGGGATTGAGACACAAAACAGGACAATTGTTGGCCCAAAAAGCCAAGTCTGGAAAACGACGTGTGAGCCGGGAAGACAGGGCGGCACGAGTCGGGCAAAAGTAGAGTTCGGGAAAAGAGGTGTGAATAAGGAAAACAAAACACACGTTGAGAGAAAACGACCTGAGTGGATGCTGTCACATTTTTGGTGTAAGGCATAGGTCTTGTGAGATTATCTTCAAACAAGTCTCTACTTGAGTGCCCCTCCACCACTGTAAGGTGCTGTGTTTTCAACCATTGAATTTGCTGGAATGTCCATTTCTCAATGCCATCTTCTAATCACTAGACGAAGAAACCGTGGTCTTGAGCGTGGCACGACGAGCGGATGCCTGCAACTTTTCCCCATTCTGGAGCATGACTTTGCGTCTGCGAGTCTCTAATCGCAAGGCAAAGAGCTTCTGCAAGCAAATAAAAGACAGGATCATCTTGATGTGTCTGAAAAAGGTTTCCTCTGTCACAAGGTTCCTGTATTTGAGAATCGAAGACATGGCGGCTTCAGCATTTCCTCAACTGGGGTTGCTCTCTTGCTTTTTATTGCGTCGTTGTGCAGAAGTTTTGATTTGAGGGCGAGGGCTGCTCATAAGGGTTATACATAGAGATATAGAGTTCAAAGTTATATAGGGACATAAACCCAATGATGGAGAATCAAATGGACAAGAAAATGGAAACTGGGCATCTGGACTGTTTCAGCAAATAGGGAGGGTCTGCTGAGGTCGGATGGTTTCCTGCCTTGGTTGAGGACTATGTGCGTACGCGTTCTTTTGGCACCTTATACAGGCCTCTGTAGCATCGGTGCCCTGCTCAACCCTCCTACTGGTGCAGTCTAGCTTACTGAAAAATGCAATTCTGAGTCTTCCTCTCTTGTGCTCCTCCTTTTTCCTGAATCCTGCCTCTGCTTTTGCTGATTGTTGCAGTTTCTTTCCCCAACTCCGTTTCCTGACTCGTTCCATTTTTTCTTGACTCGTTGCTTGGCTCAAGGTCCCCTCTGCAAAGGACATGTAAATCATGCAAAGAACCCACATGCCGCCATTTGGCATGCTCCCCAGGCCTACTGGTTCGCCGTTCGAGGGTTGGCCGTCCCTCGTTGGTACTCGGGCGGCGGCTTTCCTGAAGCTCCGGGACGAATGGTTAGCGATGCCCAAACAAGTTGTCATGGAAAGTCAACGAAGGAAGGACTCAGTGTTCATCAAAGTGCTCTCAGCTTGGCGGACCGTCCAACTGCCCAGGTATATCAAGACGGATGACAGACAGTACGTGAGGCAACTTTGGATGAGCTGGTTGAGAGATCGACACACCTGGGAACCCGGCCGAATCCAAGGTCGTCTGCCGCTCGAGACCCTCTCCTGCCTGGCGGCAAGGCAACCAAAAGGCAGTTCAAATGTGTAGCGGAATTGAGTTGAATTCGGCCAGCAGGCAATGAATCCCGCGCTCTCAGCAATTATGCCTTTGAGGTTCTCAGCGCCACTAGACCTGCAGAAGAATTCCTGACTGTACAGCTGCCATCACTTACCCTAACGCACATCAACTTGACATTTGGCACTCTCCCAAACTAGTGGGACCCCAATATAGACCCCAATATATTTATAGTCCTTACTATGGGGACCCCAAGATGGTACCCTAATTTTAGGAAACCCTAATCGCTACAAACCCCTACATAATCCCAGCTTCCATTTCATTTCCATTTGTTTTCATCTGACTCTCCATTATGAAGGAAAATTCTATCCCATATAAACCCAATACCTAATTCCCAAACACTAAACCCTAATCCATTTGCCCAGCCATCGCCTTCTTGAGACCATGGTGAGCACCATAATGCTCAATTGCTAGAGCCTGCTTGTCATTTTGCAAGGACACATCCACTTGGGGGTGTCCCGAAATTATGGGGTACCTTTAAAGGGCGACATAGGGGTTATATGGGTTATATGGGCATATACAGAGTTTAGGGGCTTGGAGGTTTCCCAACATCAGGTGTATGTGTTGGGCGATCCTTATAAAAAGGATTATTGTGCTTCGGGGTCTATATTGGGGTCCACTTATTTTGAGAAAATACCACGCGTATTCCAGCATGCCGACAAAGTCTGACTAGAAACAAAATGAAGCTACATGTCCAGATATCGGCCTGATCTGACAATATCAGCTTCATTTTAGCTGGCAACTGACAAGTGTTCCAATGTTGCCACTCGTCTTGTGAGCCTTTCAAAGATAGAGAATCTGGCTGGCAATGCTGAGAAGGCAGTGCGTCGGCCAAACTTAATTTTTCTCTTGATGCCTACTACCAAGCACAGCGAACAAACTCACATCCCAACGCCGCTTCTCAAATCTAGTACGCAAGGCATGACCAGACATGCAAGTGTGTCTACATGTACAGCAACCATCCCAGGATTCAATATGTGTTTTTTGATATGCGACAGGACCTGCAGCGCTTGCCGAAATTGCTTGGAGTCCAGAAGCCTGCTGTCCAGCGGCTCCTTGCATCTACAGCCAGGTGTGCACAATGAGCCCTGCAACAGGTGCCTCAATATACTCAATAAAACTGCACGAAGACTCTGAGCTCCTCTGGGTAGAGTGGACCGCCACTGTGCTGTTTGAAGGTCTGTCAGCAAGTTGTGAGCTACATTTTTGGAAGCCGACCCTGAAAGTTGACGCTCATCTTGAATTGAAATTCTTGCAGCATCACATTTGAAATGCTCTTGAACGCCATATTGCGAATCTTGAAACCGCTTCCTGAGTCAAATGCAATGTCCAAGAAGAACATTCCCAACGTACTGCGAGGGATTGCAAGGTCATGGTTCAATGCACAAACTTGTCCGCAAATGCAAAGACAAAACACCACAGGGGATTGTACAAAGTGCCTCGATCATCGCCTTATGGTCGTACTCCGTTGAGAAGAGGCGCTGATGGGCCAGAAGATGACAGAAACTCAGATCGCGAAGCTTAGATGGACTATCCCCGTTGCGTGCACTCAGCCTCTGGCCTTAGCAGCGAGACTCCATCTCCTTCGGAGCAGTCGTGGTAGAGGCCGGACACCAAAGTAGCCTACAGGAAAGAATTGCTGCGGGTCTGCGTACTCTACCGCGCCCTCATGCCTAGCTCTGTTGACTAGCGACGAACACTAGTATGAACAGTTATTACTAATGACTAATGCCTTTTTGAATCAAGTGCGGCCAACTCAATCTGGGCAGAGCTCACACAGCTCACTCCACTAAATGCCACTGTGAAAAGGTGCAAAAGTCTGCGGGCGCGCCGTGGTATCTTGGACAGCGCCGGCATGTCCTCGATTGAAGTGGCCCGGCGGGTGCCTCAACTGCTCACTGAGTCAGTAGTCTCTGCATTCCAAGGAAGCCCTCTTAGCTCTGCACGAGTCCTTGCTGGCCATGGCCTGAAACAGGAGAGGCTTGACTGCATGAACATGGAACTGTTCGCGTTACGTAGTGAAACGCGGACCGTTCCGTGCCAAAATCCAACTCCAACTTGGCTTCGATCAACCCCACGCCTCCAGGCCCGGAGGCCGTCAACTTTTCACATGGCCGGCAGCAGCTTCCCCTACTCCCCCAAGACTTTGTTTCCCAAAGCCAAAATTCAGACGGAACAAAACGCAGGCAAGCGCGGAAGATGCCTGCTTCTGCATCTCTCAGCCACCAGTCTCTGCAGAACGTCGACTACGCTTCAACACAGGTTTCAACGGAAATGCTGGCAGCCACGCCAAGATCAAGCGTCACACATCTATCCTCCCAGAATGCAATACGCAGAGACCACTTGGCCGGCAGCAGCTTCGCCTACTCCCCCAACACCTCCCAGAATGAAATACATAGAGACCTGCAGCAACCCTGTTGGACTTGGACTTGCGGAGCTCTAATTCAAGTTTCTGGATGGGCCTGCTGTCAAACCAAGGGTTGCAGGCCAAAGCAGTTTGACCCTTTGACCTATGGCTTGGAGTACCGGAGCTTTAGGCTGTCGGCTCATGCCTTGTCACTTGTCAGCTCCCCCCGAAGCCAGCACAGGGTATAGCTGCAGGGCCCTTGCAATTTTGAAAGCACTTAGCACTCCGCATACATAGCCACCAGTCTACGGCATAACTCTGTGAACAACTTGGAGATGTTCTTTTTTGCGCATCTCATGTCTGATCGCCGTAGAAGCCGCTGAAGTTCAGATGTGCGCACAAGCTCGTCACCTGCCACGGCGAGGGCAAAACGGTTGGGTGTCCAGGTGTTGCACTTGGCTGAAGGTCCCGAAGGAGTGGCACAGCAGTGCGCGTCCTGTAACTTTAAGCGATGTCAATCCTTGCCGTGATAGGTTCACCCAGACTTCTGCCGGGGAGCTTTCACTAAGCCACTAAACTGAGCAAAGCCACAGCTGCTGGAACATTTCTGGATTATCATTCGCACTTGTACGACTTGCTGCCATTGGCTGCAAGGCCGCAAGGCAGGATGTTCAGCATGTCGTGGCGGCGGAAGGGTGAGGAGGGTTTTATCACATGCTAGTTGTCGCAGGCCTCTGGGTACCCAAGCTGCAGCAAGCCGCGTATGCCAATCTTTCGCCCAAGGCTTTGCTCACCTCTCAGGCCCCAGACTCGTTCTCCATCATAGCCAGCAGAGCCGCAATCTTCTCGGGATCTTGCCGCAATACCTCCTTAGAGTTCTAAGTGCACGTGACGTTGTGACGTACTATGACAGAAAATAAACGTATCTTAAGACAACTCGTAAGACATCTGAATCTGAGCTCCGCGAGCTCCGGGTGTTGGGCGACCAAGGCCTGAGCTGCTGAAAACTGGAAAATTGACAAAACTTGCCGAATTACCCTCACTCCCTCACTCAGCCTGGTGAAATCCCATACATTGCTTGGCACTAGAAACTCAAGCCCAGCTACTGCGTCAGCTGAGGCAGCACGCCTAGAACAAGATGCTACCCAGTCAAACTGCCACGTGTGCTTTGCGCAGCTGCTTCACCAATGCAATGGAGTAACTGTAGACATTAAGGCCTCCATAACAAAAGAGAATCTGGATGTCTTGCCTTCTTTTGCTCCGTATCTTCCTACTCTAGTTCAAGCATGCTGCTCATTGCCGGGAATATGCCCAAGTCTTGTGCCCTTGTTGGTGTGAGATATTGTCTTCCAAGTTAATTGGATGCTGC